TTCTAGCTTAAATGAAGTTTGATCGTAGCTTTTCTTATAATTGAACATCTATCAACTTCACAGCTTCAAATGTAATTGCATTAGTATTTTTGTTTAATTGAATAATAATTTCTCTTTGACATTTATGACCCTTGATAAAGAATATTAGTAGGGATGGTGAAATTAATTTCACCAATTCAACCAAAAGTGGTGAAACTATTTCACCACTTAGTTTTATTTTACCAGCACCTTTAAAAATAATTATTATAATCCATTTATGAGAGCTATTGCTGATTCTAATAAGTACGTACGTACGTATCGGTTTGAATCAGAACCATTAACTAGAAGATCAGAATCTGCTAAAATTCCGAAGCGAAAAATCCGCACATGTGTAACTCGGGGGCACGGAAGAAATTTGACATCAAAAGTCACATGAAAATGATGATTGGCTAATTATCACTCCACGTGATGGCCAACAGCAAATTACTGTAACCAATAGGCAATCACGATAAGATGTAACGTAGTGGTAGCCCGTGTTTTGAAAAAGGAAAGAATATTGGTGAGGTGAAGTTTTAAAAATATATAAATATTTAATCTAATTTGCCTGATCAAAAAAAAGGCATTAATGTTACAAAGAGCATGCTAATTTTTTTGGAACATAAATTTAAATTTTCTTTGAATGCTTAATATTTTATTATAATCATTCGGAATTTTTATTTTAAAATATATAGAATTAAAATAAATTGAATCAAAAAATCTTGCTTAAACTGTTAGTATTGTTTATCGAAATTTTGCCTTCAATCGTCCGTGTCCCTGCACTGACTGCAAATCATCACGGGAATCTTCAATTCTCGATTTTCATTGGTGGTTTCCGACAAACCTTGCATGAACATGCATTCAGTTTGCAACGATAACAAATATGTATTCATTCAAATTCGCGTGGCAACATGGATGCCGTTATGGTTACACGAGCGAATGAAAATCGACCGGTTGGTAATTACATTTGAAGCTGTGAAGTTGATAGATGTTCAATTATAAGAAAAGCTACGATCAAACTTCATTTAAGCTAGAA